ATATATATATATATATATATATATATATATATATATATATATATATATATATATATATGTGTGTGGTGTGTGTGTGTGTGTGTGTGTGTATGTGTGTGTGTGTGTGTGTGTGTGTGTGTGTATGTGTTGGTGTATCTTGGCAGCAGGTTTTCATTTATACATAAAATGTACTAATACTGTATCAACAACAGGAGCCTCTCTAAGCACCAACGTATATACTAAGCCTACGAACATAGGATAATACCTAAACGGTAAAAGTGAGTGCCCCCAAAGATACAAAGCCAGTGTTCCCAGCGCTTATATTCGTCGAGCGCTTACCCACTGCTCTGAATGGAGCAACGTGAGTAGGGACTTTGAAAGAATAACTCAGGTGTTGGTGAACAATGGATATAGCAACACAGAAATAAACACTACAATAAGACGACACCTGGATCGATGGTACAATTCTGAACCAATAACAGAAACCACAACACCTCCAATAAAATTATATTACAAATCAACTTTGCACACTGAACATAAAAAAAGAAGAACGAATAATGAAAGAAATAATCCACAAAGGAGTAAAAAGCATAACTCCTAACCAAAACATAGACCTGATCAACTTCTATAACACAAAGAAGACTACCGATCTCCTCATCAAAAACAGCCCGAAGCCGACGGAGAACCCTCTACAGCAGTCAAGCGTTGTATACATGTACACTTGCCCCCACGAAGGATGTATCCTTCAATCTAAGCACATAGGTATGACGTCGACCAAGCTGACGAGGCGTTTGACCTGTCATCTTCAATCAGGTGCCCCCAGGAATCACATGAGACGAGCCCATGACATAACCCTAACAAGAGAAATGTTTAATAAAAACACTTGTATAATAGACAAAACCCAAGATGTAAGAAAATTACAAATTCTTGAAGCAATCCACATAAGAATAGAACAACCTACCATGAACACCCAAATCACGGAACTATTCACTCTACCCACCATGAGAATAAGAACAAGACCAGAACATGAAGATGCCAACATGGAAGACACTGCTCAACATGCTATGTCCACTACACCTGATTCTCGTGCTAATTATTCCCTCTGTTTGTTTCTTTGTTTTCCGTTTCTTAGGTAGCTTTCCCCACAGTTTAGTGCTCCGTTACCTCGACCTAGTCCTTAAGATTACACAGCAGTCTCTTACTCTGGACACAATCATATACTTTTTCACACACTATTGTTATGAGAACCACCCAGCCTTCCCTTTCCTGTCTGATCTCTCTCCTTCTACAACGGAACTTTAGTAACTTCAAGAGAGATGTTGACCAGACCACACACTAGAAGGTGAAGGGACAATCAAGACAATCGACTTGAGAATGGTCCAGAACGGACCGAAACGTCGTCGTCGTCCCTTCACCTTCTAGTGTGTGGTCTGGTCAACATACTTCAGCCACGTTATTGTGACTCATCGCCTGCATTTGGATGAGTAAGTTCCATTGTGATTGTTTTAGTCACGAAGCCCCTCGTCCCTCGAGCCCTTATACCGTGAAATTTATGTTGTTCACAATTGTTCACTTGTGAATGTTTGCAATCAACCGGAGTCACCTGTTGGTGCTCAGGAAATATGTTATTTCTTCACACGTCATCATCAGCTGTGCGCTCGCCGCCACCCGTCTCTCTCTTCCACATCACACTCCAACATGTGTGTCCGATTATAAAAGAATTGAATAAACCAACCACACCACACGTGCCAGCTTCACATATGTGTTTGTGTGTGTGTGTGTGTGTGTGTGTGTGTGTGTGTGTGTGTGTGTGTGTGTACTCACCTAAAGAACAAATCCACAAGGGCCGTGACGAAGGTTCGAACCTACGTCCGAGAGGATTCCAGACGCTGCCTTAATCGACTGAGCTACGACATGGTAAATGAATTGCAACCCGAAGTTCTACTGACCTTACTCGGATCCTGCAGCCTCTCCGAGACACAAACCAGGGTTTTACACAATTCCCCCCATAAGGTCAGTCAAACTTCCGGTTGCAATTCTTTGTAACTTTGTAACTGTTGGGTTACAGCCCTAGCTATTGTGACTTTCAAATTCATCGTCGAATCGGGCCTTAAAGTTGTGGATGGAGGTGGCTTCTACAACTTCCTCTTTTAGAGGAAGTTGTTATGAGAACTTCCTTAAGTCCCTTCGGCTCATTTGAGCTTCCACTTGCGTCCTCTTGTCCTGAAGAAACCAAGAGGATGCAGGTGGAGGCTGGAAGCTCACATGACAGGCATGGTGTTCACTGGTGGATCCTTCACACCTACTACCACCACCTGCTTCCAGGATTCACGTGGCAGTGTGTATTTCCATTTGTATCAGTGGCTAGGGTTAAGCATAAGCCCTAACCAGTGGTTAGGGCTAATGCTTACATAAGCCCTAACTTACTAATGCTTACATAAGCCCTAACCAGTGGTTAGGGCTTATGCCTCCTAGTTCAAATTTCTAATTTCTAATTCAAGTTTATGCTTTTTAGTTCAAGGCACTTGCATACCATTTGCACGGAGAACAAGCATATTTCCCCGACTCATAATAATTTGTTTCCATCTAGCACCTGTGTGTATATGTGTGTGTGTGTACTCACCTAGTTGTGTCTGCACGATCGAGCATTGACTTTTCGATCCCGCCTTTCGAGCCATCGGTTGTTTACAGCAATGACTATGGTCCTATTTCCCTATCATACCTAGTTTTAAAATTATGAATAGTATTTGCTTCCACAACCTGTTCCTTAAGTGCATTCCATTTTCCCACTACACTCACGCTATAAGAAAACTTCCTAACATCTCTGTGACTCATCTGAGTTTCCAGCTTCCACCCATGACCCCTCGTTCTGTTACTATTCCGTGTGAACTTTTCGTCTATGTCCACTCTGTCAATTCCCCTGAGTATTTTATACGTTCCTATCATGTCCCCCCCTCTCCCTTCTTCTTTCTAGTGTCGTAAGGCACAGTTCCTTCAGGCGCTCCTCATACCCCATCCCTCGTAACTCTGGGACAAGTCTCGTTGCAAACATCTGAACCTTTTCCAGTTTCCTTATATGCTTCTTCAGATGGTGACTCCATGATGAGGCGGCATACTCTAAGACTGGCCTCACGTGTGTGTGTGTGTGTGTGTGTGTGTGTGTGTGTGTGTGTGTGTGTGTGTGTGTGTGTGTGTGTGTGTGTGTAGGTAGCATGTGTGTGTTCGCGACATAATCATTAGCAACAGATAAGGGGCCACAGATGTGCCTCTCACCCTCTGGCATGGAATACAAAGTCAATATATGCTCGTATCAGAGATGGATCACAGATGGATTAGAAATGAATCATCCCAGGGAGAGGGATGGCTTTATTAATAGATGGGGCCCCAAGGAGAGGGATGACCAGGGAATGAGATGATCCCAGAGAGAGAGAGAGAGAGAGAGAGAGAGAGAGAGAGAGAGAGAGAGAGAGAGAGAGAGAGAGAGAGAGAGAGAGAGAGAGAGAGAGAGATATCCTTCCCAGGAGTAGAATGAGAGACAAGACTGCACAGGTCTGTAAGTGGGAGAATCATGAGAGACAAGGGGGAAGAAGTGTATCGTATCAGATAAGAAAGTAACACTTAACAATTTGCCATCCAAGTATGAAATAATTATTCTCGACGAAAAAATTACTTAGCAAATCAGTTATCAATAATAGTCAAGATATACGGTCGTTATAACAATTGACATATCTCGTAACTGCGGAGATAACGAGGCTACAGCAGTTCAGTCATCTTGTAAATGCAGAGAGAAGGTTACAACCCAAAAAATCTTATAAATAAAAGGATAACGAGACCAAATTTTATTTAATAAATGCTCAGTGTTATTACAGAAGAATAGAGGTCTCAACTTGTTTATAAATTAACAAATAAACAGATAAACATAACTGATCATAAGAAACAAAAACAATAACAGTGCCAATCATAATTTTAAAAATAAAATATAACAGTTTGGTAATAGCAAAATCGGTGTATCATCACTTTCCTATCAAGATATAACCTAATATTTTTTCTCTTTACAAGCCGTTCCCACCTGCAGTACAGAGATTAATATTTTATATACATCTGGGGCTATGCGTCGGCAGACCAATACGGCAGCCATGGTCTCACCTGTCGCAGGTCACAGGGAGAGACTGCCAGACATGAAGCAGTCAATGACATCACCTAGAGAAGTTTGGCTACAGCTGGATCTCCAGCACAAAGGGAACCCCAGTTGTGCAGGCCTGACAACAGCCACAAACGCCCAGATGGAGTCACCCTGCAGCCGTGGAGGGAAGGTAAACAGGTCGTCATTGACTGATACCTCTCTACCTGACAGTACTGCTGAAGGAGGCGGGGCGGAGTACAGAGACCTAGAACGTTGTTACAGGTTCGTGCCAGTAGGCTCTGACACCCTGCATGGTAAAATTATTTGTACTTTAGGTGGTCCTAAAAGAGGTGGGTAAGGAACTTAAAAGGCAAACTAGTGACTCAAGAGTGGCCAGTTTCCTGTTCTAACGCCTCAGTGTCACGATCCAAAGAGGAAATACTTATTTTATCTTGGGCACACCTTTCAAGAGCTAGATGAAGTCCTCGACAAGTGATTGTTATATATGTGTGTCATCTGTTAATAATAACACCATGTATGTAATAAAATAAATGGAATAAATATTTATATATTTATTCATTTTATATAAATATTTAAATATTTATAAAACTGTTGTATAAAACAATAAAAAGTAGAGGAACTAGAAGAAAATACTCAAGTGTTCAGCGATAGTCTACAAGATCTCTGAATCTCTTTATTCCGGCCAGATTCACGAAGCAGTTACGCAAGTACTTACGAACGTGTACATGCATCTTATCTCAATATTTGGCGGCTTTGTTTGCAATTATTAGACAGTTAATGAGCTCCGAAGCACCAGGAGGCTGTTTATAACCATAACAACAGTTGATTGCGAAGTTTTCATGCTTGTAAACTGTTTAATAAATGTAACCAAAGCCACCAAAGATTGAGAAAAGATGTACACGTTCGTAAGTACTTGCGTAACCGCTTCGTGAATCTGGCATTGCACCAGAGGTGGTACCTCTAATATATTCATTTGTTTGTGTCTTATGCTTAAATTTATAGCCTTTTATCTTTAGATTTAGTAATGATAGGTGATGAAGCTGATGGTGAAGTAAACAGTGATGGCGTAAATGATGGTGATGGTGAGAGAGATGTTGATGATGATGAGATAAATTGTGGTGATGGTGAGGGAGATGATAGTGACGATGACGAAAATGGTGGTAATGAAGAGGAAGATGGTGGTAAGGATAAGGAAGATGATAGTGAGAGAGATGGCGGCGATGGTGACAAAGAAGGAGATTGTAGTGATTGTGGTGACAATGAGGCAGATAAGGATGGTGTTGAGGGCAGAGGGGGAGCAGCCACGTGCACCCTAAACCCCCCAAGGGACCTGTTGGTGAAGCTGACGTGGGTAAGGGGGACCCTGATCCCCCCTAGGGGCAGGTAGGGGAGGTCGGCGTGGGTGAAGACAGGGGTCCCTACCCATGCCAACGTCTCCTGGAGTCTCAAGTCGTCCTCGACACCCACAGGGGCGCCCATCACCGGAGTACCTCGCCGGCGGTAGCGTCTGTAAGGCAGAGTTATAGAGTTTGTGAAGCTTCGTGAGAATTTACCATTTAAAATCAACAAAATCTGTCTGACACAGCTCAATGTATATATATATACATGTATATATATATATATATATATATATATATATTATATATATATATATATATATATATATATATATATATATATATATGTCGTACCTAGTAGCCAGAACTCACTTCTCAGCCTACTATTCAGGCCCGATTTGCCTAATAAGCCAAGTTTTCCTGAATTAATATATTTACTATAATTTTTTTCTTATGAAATGATAAAGCTACCCTTTTCTCTATGTATGAGGTCAATTTTTTTTATTGGAGTTAAAATTAACGTAGATATATGACCGAACCTAACCAACCCTACCTAACCTAACCTAACCTATATTTATAGGTAAGGTTAGGTTAGGTAGCCAAAAAAAGCTAGGTTAGGTTAGGTTAGGTAGGTTAGGTAGACGAAAAAACATTAATTCATGAAAACTGGCTTATTAGGCAAATCGGGCCTTGAATAGTAGGCTGAGAAGTGCGTTCTGGCTATTAGGTACGACATATTATATATATATATATATATATATATATATATATATATATATATATATATATAATATATATATATATATATATATATATATATATATATATATATATATATATGAGCCAATGAGGTCTGGAGTAAACTAAACTTGCACTGATACACACTCATATGTAATACTCCAGAGAACTGCTCATACTTGGTACTTGGAAGATATATTCCCATGAAATATACAAAGGATACCCACGAATATCCCGGTACCCACGAGTACCGGGACGCAGGGGTACCAACAAGAAGAAGAGTGGAATACTCACGAGTACCGGGACGCAGGAGTACCAACAACAAGAAGAGTGGCGTTGTGGTAGTAGAGGCGCCAAGTGTGGTGGTGGGACTCCCTCACATCTCGGCTCCACACTCCCAGCTTCTGCTCTCACTCGCCGCCAGAGGGAGAGTAGGTGAGTGAGTGAGATGGAATGGAAGAGATAGAGAGAAAGAGAGAGATATAGAATGGAAGAGTGAGTGAAAGTTAGAGGAAGGGGGGAGCGAAAGTGAAAGCAAGCAAGAGAGAGAGAGAGAGAGAGAGAGAGAGAGAGAGAGAGAGAGAGAGAGAGAGAGAGAGAGAGAGAGAGAGAGAGAGAGAGAGAGAGAGAGAGAGAGAGAGAGAGAGAGAGAGAGAGAAAAATAAAAATAATGAAAATAACAATAATAATACAAAGACTAATAATAATAACAATAGCAGCAATAACAACAGATGGACAATGAATGCGTCGTTCAAGACGCGTCGACTCACATCTCCCACGTCCCTGAAGGCCAGGACGTCGCTGGCGTCATCCATAGCGACGTACACCACATAGACGCCTCCCTGTGGGCCAGACGCAAGCTCAGTCACCACCTTCCTCACCTCCACGACCCGATTATCTTGTCATTTGTTACATATTTCATGTTTATAGCTAAGTCTCTGTCACAATATGTATAGAAAATGGTGCGGAGAGGCACGTAGATAGCTAGCTAGCTAGCTAGCTCGCTCTCTCTCTCTCTCTCTCTCTCTCTCTCTCTCTCTCTCTCTCCTCTCTCTCTCTCTCTCTCTCTCTCTCTCTCTCTCTCTCTCTCTCTCTCTCTCTCTCTCTCTCTCTCTCTCTCTCTCTCTCTCTCTCTCTCTCTCTCTCTCTCTCTCCTCTCTCTCTCTCTCTCTCTCTCTCTCTCATCTTACTGGAGTCAGTAGCGTGGTGTTCTCCAGAAGGTCATTAACATCAAGAGGAACTGCAGTCTTCGCCAGCGTCACCATCTCCGCCTCGTATTGCTCCTGCAACAGTCTGCAACACAGCACATTGTACACGTCGAAACTTTCATGAAGGCAAAGTTATTTCTCAGCTTTATCTCGCTTTTGTTGTGTCTCATTTGTATTATTGCAGTTCATTTCGATCACTGTGCTATAGAAATGGCCAGAAATGCCCTTGAACGGGTACAGAGAAGGATGACAAAGATATATTTGACTGTCTCACATGGGACAATAGGTACTTCCCTCACATGGGACAATAGGTACTTCCCTCACATGGGACAATAGGTACTTCCCTCACATGGGACAATAGGTACTGCCCCACATGGGACAATCTGTACTGCCCCACATGGGACAAGAGGTACTGCTTCTCTCAACCTCACACATACACTCAGCTTTACATAATCACAGCTGCATATAAGTTGTACATGTTCAGTAAGCAAGACACGTATACTGCTATAAGCAGGTGGTGATCGTGCACTGTAAGTGTCGCTGCACACGACAAGGTTGACTCAAGTACGTGAAGCGCCGACCTGTTATCAGAGTCACAACTTGCCCAGCTCCATCACCTTTGGGGTTCAGGGACTATCGAGCCCCATTACGTGCCTCTAAATCCTTCTTTCATTACCTCTCACAGGCTGGATACGAGGCACACTACCGCTAACAGGATTGATGACTGATATAGATTAAGCCACCCTAAGAGGTGGCACGGGCATGAATAGCCCGTAACGCTAACAGGATACATAATAAATGAAGTAATCTGGCACTGACCCGGTGAGGTTCATAACGGTGATGTTCGGCTGGTGGTTGAAGGGTCGGGCGAGGTAGTCCCGCTCAGTGGACCAGGACACGGTGAGGTGGAGACCGCTGCCCCCGCCGTGGTAGGCTCGGTTAACGTCGGGCACAAGGCACTCCCGGCCGCGCCTCATGATGCTCGACTCCAGAAAGTAGTCCCAGTCGTGGGTCTGTGCCCGGAGGGAAAGTTATGTAAGCCTCGGCTGCGCTCGGAGGTGCTCGTGTATAAACAGTAGTTCCGCTCACCGGAAACTGTGGCTTAATGACAACATTGGAAGTTCGTACATTGTGTTGTTCGTTATGCAGTTCGTGCTACTTGATTTAATGTAGTTGCTGAATGCATTGATTTGATGTATTAGATACCTGTGGAGTACATACATAATTCAGTTCTTCTCTAACGGAAAATATATGAACCAGATGAAAAAATATTGCATTTGTGCTAACCACACACACACACACACACACACACACACACACAGTTACCAGTTTCAAGTGTAGATATGATAGAGCCCAATAGGCTCAGGAACCTGTACACCAGTTGATTGAGGGTTGAGAGGCGGGACCAAAGAGCCAGAGCACCAGAGGTTGAAGCACCTAATTGTGCTTGAACCCCCGCAAGCACAATTAGGTGACACACACACACACACACACACACACACACACACACACACACACACACACACACACACACACACACACACACACACACACACACACACACACACACACACACACACACACACACACACACACACACACACACACACACCACACACACACACACACACACACACACACACACACACACACACACACACACACACACACACACACACACACACACACACACACACACACACACCACACACACACACACACACACACACACACACACACACACACACACACACACACACACACACACACACACACACACACACACACACACACACACACACACACACACACACACACACACACACACACACACACACACACACACACACACACACACACACACACACACACACACACACACACACACACACACACACACACACACACACACACACACACACACACACACACACACACACACACACACACACACACACACACACTTACAACATTGCTGGGCAGCCACTTGGGCAGGATGTAGGCGAGAGTGTCCCGGTTCACCATCCAGCCGTAGGACGGGAAGCTCTGGACGCGGTAGAGGCGGGCGGGGTCGTGGGCGGTGTGGGCGTAGGAGAGGTGGTTGAAGGCCGACACGCAGTAGACAGTTGGGTCGTTGTCCAGCACCCAGCCCGTCTGCTGCATGTACCTGCATGGAGGAGGAGGAGGAGGAGGAGACGCTGAAGAAGGCGTAACAGGCAAGGAAAAGAAGAATGGAGGGGTGGGAAGGACGGAGAAGGAATGACATAAGGACAGCAGAAATGTTGGGAAAGAATGATAGGATGAGAATGTTCAAGAGAATGAAGAAGAGAGGCAATACCCCCCCCGTTGTAACGAGAGCAGTTCCATAATATTGACGAGAATAACACAATATCCGCTCTTACCAGAAGCATTACTAACAGCACCTGTCCGGCTACGAGAAGCATTAATAAGTACTAGAAACAGAAGTTGCATCTAGCTGTTACAGTAAGGCAATGTTTATTTTATTGTGTTAACATATTTAAGTACATGTGTGTATTTATGCAGCTGCCTCTGGAGTATATAAAGGGTTACATAGTGTCCAGTGCTAGCTAAGAAAGCCCCATCTCACAGTATGCCCCGCATGGTATACTGTGGGAACATACTGAGGTAGATCTGTCATCCTCATTCTATTTTCTACTGTACAGTTACCGCGTACAGCTGTACCCGCCAACTGTACCTACTTTCAGGTGTACAGTCATAGTTTATAAACCCTATAACCAACCAGTATGTCCTCTCGAGTTGTGACAGACAAAATAAGAGCTACTGAAACGTGCGAACCTAACCTAGCCATCTAACCTAACTGCTTCACGCATAGAAAACGTGGTTGTCAGTGAGCCGCTGTAATTCACAGAACAACCACTTCATGTATACAGTCCTCCATCGGGCTCTAGCTTAGGGTCCCTGGTGCTGCTAGTCCTTCAGAGAACCCGGCATTACAAGGGAGACTTACGAGTAGAAATCTGGCGAGAGGACAAGGTCGTCCTCAACAACGATGAACTTGTCGGCTCGAGGGAAGAGCCTGAGGGCGTTGAAGAAGGCGAAGCGCAGATTGCGGGACACGCGAGTTGCTCCTGTTCCTTCCGGCCTGTGAATGGGGAATGTGGGTGTAAGAGGGAACGAAGGTAGAAAGAATAAACAGGAAAATGAGGATAAAAATGGGTAACAGGTGGTAGAGCTGAAAGAAAGAGCTTCGGTGAAGCGGAGACGGTGAAAGTGAAGAATGAAAAAAAGAAGGAAGAAGGAAGCTAGAAAGTGGATAAAAAAAGAGATGGTAGGAGACGAGGTGGTCACATTAACATTGGAATACGTGTTGACCAGACCACACACTAGAAGGTGAAGGGACGACGACGTTTCGGCCCGTCCTGGACCATTCTCAAGTCGACTGTGTTCCTCTACCTCCGAACACGTGCTCCTCTACCACGTCATCGGAACAGCGGGTAAAATACTGCCCGTGTTCTGTCAGGGTTACCCATCCCCTCCAACACTTGTTGATGGATGAAGATGCTGCTGCTAATGACACTGATAATGATGATTGTTTGATGGAGACGGTAATCACAGTGATAATGATGACGGTGATATATTGCTAGAGAAACACGAGTTACCTGTGGATGAGGACGTTGAGAGCGAGAACGCGCGCCAGACGCAGGACGCCCTCCACCACACCATCCGTCACCACCAACACCAGCCGGCTCCGGAGGTCCGCCTGCTGTCCGACACTCTCCAGCAACCTGCAGCGACCGCAGGCTAGTCACAGGCTACAGGAACGTGTCACAGCATAATTCTCAACGAGCGTCATGTATTTCAAATGGCAGTCACAAAAGTTCTTAAAAAAAAACTCTGTACGAACATCCCAAATGTCAAATTCAGACAGGTATTCGCGCGGAGTTAATTGGGATTCTGGCGTGGGTCACCTGCGGGTCGTTAGAAGTCACTACTACTTCTCGTTTGACCAGAACCAAGGTAGCATTTTTTCAGCTCATCGTTTAGCCAATCACGGGTCTGCTGGACAACTGACCAGTCACATGTATGTTTTATATCAGCTGATGTATACCAACAAAATCAGATATCATGCTCACAGAGAGGTTTACTGACCATGTCGGTGTACCCAGTATATTGATAGTATATTTTATTCTATATTATGTTCTAGGATAAAGTATACTTGCTCCTGGTTGATCAGTAATCACCCGTTGAGGCCTTGTATTACTCCTCTGTGGTTCAAATGTTGTTCGGAGCGAGAGCATCGCCTTCAGGAACTATAGGTGGAGTGTTTAAGATGCCATGTACACCTAGCTGTGTATATCCCAGTTACAGGTGTATATATACATTGAGAGTTTACTTCATTCTTCGAATATATTCAGGCATTAAGAGTATACCTGCTAGTTGGTCAGTGAATAAAGCCCTAATGGGCCTAGTATACAAGAGAAGCGTTGAATCAGCGTTGATAACGTCACCTGAACGTTGACTTAGATGTTTTGGTTGAGAAGAAACATGCTCTTATTGAAAGAATTACCAACGCCAAGTAGTTTGTTCCGTATAGTTATTTCATTGATATTTTCTCCCGCATGACTGAACTCCCACAGTACTGCAGCAAAGTCCCGTTACGTCCCAAAAAGTACTATCTAAAAGTCCCAAAAAGTACTATCTAAAAGTTCCAAAAAGTACTATCTAAAAGTCCCAAAAAGTACTATCTAAAAGTCCCAAAAAGTACTATCTAAAAGTCCCAAAAAGTACTATCTAAAAGTCCCAAAAAGTACTATCTAAAAGTCCCAAAAAGTACTATCTAAAAGTCCCAAAAAGTACTATCCAAAAGTCCCAAAAAGTACTATCTAAAAGTCTTAGTCCCAAAAAGTACTATCTAAACAGGAGGATATAGAAGTGTAAACAGGTTTATATGAGGACGGGTGGATGTCAATTTTTCTCACCTGTAGAGATAATGGGTCCTACCTCACCTGGAGAGATAGCAGTCCTGGTGCACTGTGAGAGATAAAGAGGCCTGTCTCACCTATGGAGGTAAAGAAGCTTGAACACAGGTAACGAATCCTTACCTGTATTGTCTCGTTTGTAAAGCTGTAATTAATGTTCACTCACCTGTAGAGATAGTGGGTCCTGCCACACCTGTAGAGATAGCAGGTCTTGCCTCACCTGTAGAGATAGCATGTCTTGCCTCACCTGTAGTGATAGCATGTCTTGCCTCACGTGTAGAGATAGCAGGTATTGCCTCACCTGTAGAGATAGCAGGTCTTGTCTCACCTGTAGAGATAGCAGGTCTTGCCTCACCTGTAGAGATAGCAGGTCTTGCCTCACCTATAGAGATAACAGGTCTTACCTCACCTATAGAGATACCAGGTCTTGCCTCACCTGTAGAGATAACGGGTCCTGTTTCCAGCAATAATAATAATGGGGATATCCTCTCTCCAGTGGACCTGAAATAGGATAACAATACCCTAATTATTCCACATTTTCTATACCGTCAAGAAGCCGCATATCCACAGAGGATATGTGAATATGCTGCTGTGGTTAGAAGCCGTAAGTGTCAACAAATTACTTCAGTTCAAAGTCCAGTTGGATTTTGAACTGGAACAACTGTGGGAAGGGGAACATGTGACAAGTTCTCAAATGAGCCACTGTCTGGAGAGTGTCTGGTCCAACAACCTTGGTCACATCCAGTTCCAGTAGATACTGTTGTATCTTATCTCTGGTAATTTCAAATTCCTCCATTGCCTGGGCTCAGCCTCGTATACATGTGTATATGTGGCTTAGTGTACTCACCTATTTGTGCTTGCGGGGGTTGAGCTTTGGCTCTTTGGTCCCGCCTCTCAACTGTCAATCAACTGGTGTACAGGTTCCTGAGCCTATCGGGCTCTGTCATATCTACATTTGAAGCTGTGTATGGAGTCAGCCTCCACCACATCACTACTTAACTCATTCCACCTGTTAACTACCCTGACACTGAAAAAATTCTTTCTAAGGTGTCTGTGACTCATCTGGGTACTAAGTTTCCACCTGTGTCCCCTTGTTCGTGTTCCATCCGCGCGTACACCCTGTGTGTACTCACCTATATGTACTCACCTATTTGTGCTTGCGGGGGTTGAGCTTTGGCTCTTTGGTCCCGCCTTTCAACTGTAATGTATGTGTGTGTGTGTGTGTGTGTGTGTGTGTGTGTGTGTGTGTGTGTGTGTGTGTGTGTGTGTGTGTGTGTGTGTGTGTGTGTGTGTGTGTGTGTGTGTGTTTACTCACCTATTATTAAATTAAATTAATTTTTTTATTCAGGAAAAGTACATACATAGATGCAGAGTTACAAACATCCTGTTGGATTTAAAGATAGAGGTAGTACATACAATACCTAAAGCCACTAATACGCATAGCGTTCGGGCAAGGTGGGGAAAAAAACACTTCGACTAAAACTTAATAGTAATTGGGAATAAAGTATAAATTGTGTTAAAAAAAAAGGAATAAACAAAAAGAAAAAGGGGAGGAACATGGCAGAAAATAGCAATTATACAAGTTGGTCAACAAACAGCATTGTTTAAAATATCAAGACATGGGTTGACATTTAGGGGGTAAGGTAGGTTACATGGAGTTAATTAGGTAGTACTTAGTTTTACTCTTAAACTGGTTGAGAGAGGTACAGCCTTTGACATGATTGGGAAGGTCATTCCACATTCTGGGTCCCTTGATTTGTAGAGCATTTCTAGTTTGGTTAAGTCGTACTCTTGGAATATCAAATAGGTATTTGTTTCTGGTGTGATGCCCATGGGTTCTGTTACAACCTTCTAGGAAGCTTTTAAGGTCAGGATTGACATTGTAGTTCAGAGTTTTAAATATATAGAGTACACATGAGAGGATGTGCAGTGACTTAATATCTAACATATTCAGAGATTTGAGTAAGGGTACCGAGTGCTGTCTCAGGCCAGAGACAGCACTGTCAACATATTGTTCTAATAGCAGCTTTGTGTTGAGTAATTAGAGGACGTAAATGATTTTGTGTAGTAGAACCCCAAGCTCAAATACCATAATTGAGATAGGGAGAGATGAGAGAGTAATAGAGCGTCACCAGGGCAGGGCGAGGTACATAGTATCTGATCTTAAAAGAATGCCGACAGTTTTAGAAACGTTTTTTGGTATATTTAAAATGTGTCCCTAGAAATTCAGCTTGTTATCGATGAGAACACCAAGGAATTTGCCATCTACTTAGTTACTAATTTGGATATTGTTTATTCTTAGATTAATTTGATTTGAGGATTTATTGCCAAACAAAATATAGAAAGTTTTGTCAATGTTAAGGGTGAGTTTGTTAGCAGTTAGCCAAAGATGGACTTTATTTAGTTCAGTATTCACTGTGACATTTAGAGCAAGAGGGTCAGGACTGGAGAAAATTAAGGTTGTGTCATCAGCAAATAGAATTGGCAAATAGAGTTGTGCTTGCGAGGTTGCGCTTCGGCTCTTTGTGTGCGTTTGTTTATTTATTTTAGTGTGTGTGTGTGTGTGTGTGTGTGTGTGTGTGTGTGTGCGCGCGCGTTGAATGCACACGAAACTGACCGTGCGGGCGTGGTGAGGGTGTCTGATGAGTGCGAGGGGATCCTCACAGCCACACAGGTTACCATAGCCGTCATGAGTGTCACAGAACGCTCTCCAGGCCGCCTTTCGCCGGGTGGTGCGCCGCCCGCCGCCCGCACACCCTCTCCACCCTGCATATAACCATAGCAAAACAAGACATGAATATCACCTCTCGCTTTGTCCTGAAAAAATATTAATCTGGTTCAAGTTCAAGTGCGTTTATTGAGACAAGAAAATACATCTCAAAGGGATAAAGTAGAATAGGCTATTTGACAGACAAAGGATTAGATTACTAAGCAGCACACAAACGCAAGTTTTATCAACCCGCTCTCGCACAAGACAGTACATATATGACTTACTGCTTATAGTCACTATTTGGCTTATAAGGTTAGGTTAGGTGTTATTTAAGGTTAAGGTTATTTAAATATTTTAGTTTTGTTTAATTACTTTTATAAAACTGTAATATCAATAGAGGTATCGGTTCAGTACTAATTGTAATATTTTAACATACTAAGAAGGTTAGGTTAGGTTGGTGTTTTCTATTCAGCTTTTCAATGTAACCTCAAATATTCACAATAAATTAGTACGTCACATATGCGCTTATTCATAAGCCAAATATTGACTATAAGCAAGTGCGAGAATGGGTTGCAACATATTATATGGCGTTGCGTGCTTGACTTTGATGGTTAACTCAATTAAACGGTGATCTGTCTTGGCTGCTCCCTCAGTTGTCGTCTACGGAGAGAGTGATTAACAATATGTGTGGCTATTAAGAATGGTAGCATGATGATAGATGGAATAGTTAGTGTAGATTTCCCCGAGTCTCGAAGATTTATGAAATTTTGTTGGAGTTAATGGTGTATCATTTTCTGAGGCTTTTTATCGGCATATTATTTTTTCGAGCGCATCAGTACTACCAGACATTCGCGCAAAATAAAATTTACTCTGCTCTTATAATTAATAACTATATTGTATCTGTGTCCTGCTTCACATACCAGCTCTAATTATCTTAATTATCATAAAGAATCAATTGTATTGAACGTGTAAACTTTGTAAACATGTACACATTAGAGAGCAAGGAGAATGACAAATAGTTGGGTGTGAAGGGAAGACTTCGCTAGTTGTTCATACGGACTCTCCCACACATAATGTGCGACATCACTTATTGTCACGACAGCACTTCCGAAAGAGCCAGTATGGTGGTGTATGCTAGTGCATATAGTGCATATAGCTTGAGAGAGAAAGAGAGACAGACAGACAGACAGACAGACAGACAGACAGACAGACAGACAGACAGACAGACAGACAGACAGACAGACAGACAGACAGACAGACAGACAGACAGACAGACAGACAGACAGACAGACAGACAGACAGACAGACAGACAGACAGACAGAGAAAGACCCTTTGCAGAGTATCAATCTGGTCTAAAGTGTTGTACTTGAGCGGATCTTTAGTTTGCTTCTTGGGTGGGAAGGGAGTGAGGGATAATTTAGAAGAGATCATTTCCAACGGTACAAGTTGTACCGTTGTACAGTACAGTTGTTTGAGTACAGTTGTTGGAAGTACAGTTGTTTGAGTGTGAACAAGTACACGTTGCAGTGCAGGTACAGATTGTGAATCTGATACATTTTGTGTTCAGTCGTAATTTTATCATCGATTTTGAAGAACTTTGACCTTTAATACTAAAGGTCTGAATTAAGGGTTTTCCTATACGGGTTAGGGTGAGTTAGTCTCAGCACTTTTTATACGAGTTACAGCATTTGTTTCATTAAAACGATCTACAACACTATTAGGTGGTGTGTGTGTGTGTGTGTGTGTGTGTGTGTGTGTGTGTGTGTGTGTGTGTGTGTGTGTGTGTGTGTGTGTGTGTGTGTGTGTACTCACCTAATTGTACTCACCTAATTGTGCTTGCGGGGGTTGAGCTCTGGCTCTTTGGTCCCGCCTCTCAACCGTCAATCAACTGGTGTACAGATTCCTGAGCCTATTGGGCTCTATCATATCTACATTTGAAACTGTGTATGGAGTCAGCCTCCACCACATCACTTCCTAATGCATTCCATTTACTAACTACTCTGACACTGAAAAAGTTCTTTCTAACGTCTCTGTGGCTCATTTGGGTACTCAGCTTCCACCTGTGTCCCCTTGTTCGCGTCCCAAAACTCTTCCCATGCCGGGAATCGAACCCGGGCCTCCTGGGTGAAAGCCAGGTATCCTATGTGTGTGTGTGTGTGTGTGTGTGTGTGTGTGTGTGTGTGTGTGTGTGTGTGTGTGTGTGTGTGTGTGTGTGTGTGTGTGTGTGTGTGTGTGTGTGTGTGTGTGTGTGTGTGTGTGTTTAGAGTGTGTGTTCTTGTACACGTACATGTATGAAGCCTTTGTGCTCAGAGAATGTACTAGACTTACATTCCTCAACTTTTAACAGGTAAGTGAAGCAACCACTTTTGATTATATATATTATACTTACGAATTCCTTATTATGAACAGGTTTCTCGTTAAAACCATCAACTTACCCGTTAATTCTTCCTCCGGTTCCTCGTCGACGTCACCCTCCTCCTCCTGCTCCTCCTCCGTGATGTTCTCTGTCTTCAGCCTCTCCTCTGGCCTGCCGTTCTCAGTCAGGTCCTCCCTCATCACCAGCCTTCCTTTGTCGGGTGCTTCGTTAACGAGTACCTCTGGTTCTTCTGGTCCCTTTGTTCCTCTCTCCCTAGCTCCCGTTTTCTGTCCGTCTTCTCGAACCTTTCTTCTGGTTTCCTTCCTGCTGGTTTCCGGCTTTTTTCTCCCTCTCTTTGCAAGTCTCTGTCCTTCAAGTGGTGACGGAGGGAACTCTACCCGCAGCAGCAGAGGAGAAGCGGCCACGCTCGAGTTCCCTATGTTAGGACTGATGGTTTCCGCCAGGTTCATGCCGCCCATGATGAAAACCCACGCCCACGAGTCCCTGTAGAGGTAGTGGGACGCCCAGGCGGACCCCAGGTTGTGGAGGTCTTGTCTGGCCGGCCCCAGCAGCAGCGAGCCGTCGTGCTGACGAGGTAATGTTCATTATCAGTTGACGAGATGGACCGAGGTCCTTAATGTGACGGGATCAAATTAGACTCCAGGGTGAATGGGGGAGTCTTAGACTCTCTGGGGTGAAGGGTGAAGTCTTAGACTCTCTGGGGGTAAAGGGTAGAGTCTAAACTATCATCACAGGGGAAACTGGTTAGCTCTAGTGCTTCCCCGGCCAGGTAAAGCCACTATTATTGCAAGACATAAACGTAATCAATAATCAGAAATTATCACCATCATAGATCAAACTTTAATATAAAAATTCCCGTTCGCTACACGAGCTCCCTCGAGGAGCCTTGTGCAAGAATGGTCAGACACCGCTGTCTGATCTGCATTGCCCCTTCTTGTGACATCTTACACAACTATTTTGTGTCCTGTCAATTGACTGCTGTAAAAGACGAAGACAGGTTTGTTGACCAGACCACACACACTAGAAGGTGAAGGGACGACGACGTTTCGGGCCGTCCTGGACCATTCTCAAGTCGATTGTGAATGGTCCAGGACGGACCGAAACGTCGTCGTCCCTTCACCTTCTAGTGTGTGGTCTGGTCAACATACTTTAGCCACGTTATTGTGACTCATCGCCTGCACGAAGACAGATCATGGATATCAATCTTAGGCACATAAATTGCTTCTGCCCTGGTCTATAGACGTTATGGATATCAATCTTATACACACAACACTATGCTGCTGCACTGATCTTTGGAGGGAGTTACAGAGTTGCAGGACTCTGGCTCATACTAGCTTGTATAGTGTCATAGTGTATGACATAGAAGCTTGTAGTGCCATAGTGCATGACTCTTATCAGCTTGTAGTGCCATGTGAGCATTGCTAGTTTGGTTTCTTGTGATATATGAACTAACTTCATAGTAATGCAGAGATATAACGTCATGAATGTATGGTTTTGAGAATTTTCTAACTGAAGCACATCGATGGGAAACCAGACAGAATGTAAGTCCTAGCAGCTAGGAATTTTATCTCTTAGAGGTTTCAGGTTCTTTATATCTGAAACAAATTAACGGTAAACAAATTCACAAGGGCCGTGACGAGGATTCGAACCTACGTCCGAGAGCATCCCAGACGCTGCCTTAATCGACTGCTCTCGGACATAGGTTCGGATCCTCGTCACGGCCCTTGTGGATTTATTCATTTGATACATCACGCTATTGAGATTTCTGTGTGTAAATTAATGATACATTATATGTACTAGACTGTTCAGTTAGTAGGTGCTATAGTAGCCACTTGTATATATACTATAATGGGAAGTTAATAGGACCTAAGAGCGACGCCCTGCTCACCAAGGAGGCGATGACGACGAGTCTTCCCCGTTGGACGGCCTTCAGCGTCCACGACAACTCTCGCTGGGCGCCAAAGTCGCTGGTGTAGAAGACCTGGCTGAGGGTGACTTGGCAGGTGCGAGGGTTGACCACCAGCAGGAGAAGCCCTCCCTGCCACAGGTCCTTCTCCGGCCCCTGCGTCGCGTTCTTCTCGTGTACCAACACCAGGTTCCTCTTCGTCGCCTGCACCGACGACACCTGCAGTAAGGGAAAATATGTGACAAGTCCTTAACCGGGAATTTAAGTGCAAGATATAAGTCAAAACTTAACAACTAAGACGTAAGTAATTATCAGTTGAAAACACCAAGTTGGTAAGACTATATAGAGTCTTCCTGACTCAACATAGTAATAACAAATAACACTTAATCATGAGCAAATATTTTGAACGTGCAGGTAATTTTGGGGTAAAGGAGGGAGCGAGGGGGGGGGGAAGGTTATTTTTATCGTTGGAGATTACCCTGTCGTAGCTCACTTTTACCCTTTTACCCTGTCGTAGCTCAGTCGATTAAGGCAGTGTCTGGGATGCTCCCGGACGCAGGTTCGAATCCTCGTCACGGCCCTTGTGGATTTGTTCATTTGATGCATCACGTTATTGTGATCTCTGTGTGTGTTGTCTATTACTGCTCAGTTCTTAATAACTTACCTAATACTTAGGGTTGGATCTGGTAAGAAAAGGCACTAAGGCCCGATAGTTTGAATGAAAAGAACCCGGTTACTGGTTAAGTGAGGCTGTAACAGATGGTATTGTTTCCAAAACGACTTAACATTAATGTATTATGCTAGTGGTTCTGTTACCAACAATGTTATAGTTATATAGCAAGTGTACACATAAATTGCAACAATACAATAAGTGTCAGCATCAACTGGAGTATGATTATGCCCTTGTGTGCTCTCTGTAATACTTTCCCGTTGACACTAACAGAATGAGTATAGGCTGCATAATGCGTTACCACTCACATAATATTGGGAGTACAATAAACTACAGCTCACAGGATGAATATGGGGTGAATAATGAACTAATTGGCGCTGACAGCAACAACCAATTACCCACCTAAAACCAACGAGAAAATTGATTAAAGCCACCAGCCTAGCCCTTTCTCACGATTTAACAGCCGTCAAATTTACAGTGGTTTGACCTAACCAAAATTGTAAAACCTAGACAACCCAATTAGGTTATCGAGAACACAGTAGCGTCAACACTGAGGTGCTTTTGATATCACACACGTCGATAGCGTCAAAAATAGCTGTGCATTGTGAGGACAGGGTCAGTCGGCAATGGTGGGTGAGGGGAAATATGAACGATAAATCACGTAGGGAACTAACAGTGTTATTGTTGATGGCGACGACGACGTGACGAGGTGTGACGTTGACAAGGAGGTCACGGAGATGGCACGGCGGCGACGTGGACCAGGCTAGGCTAGGAGGCGGGACACCCACCAGCGTCGGGTCCTCTGCAAGATACAGTCCGTTGTACATCTTAGTGTAACTCTATACTAAGACAGTTAAAATACAAATCCACAAGGGCCGTGACGAGGATTCGAACCTGCGTCCGCGAACATCCCAGACGTGGCCCTTGTAGATTTGTAGATTTAATATACTTACTAATCTCCCTCATCTCATTTTTTCTTGCAATGTATCTGTTATCATTTTATTAATTCTGCTAGAATTTACCTACTTAAAATTATCTGTTAGATTAAGGTCCTGCCCGAAACGCTGCGCGTACTAGTGGCTTTACAAGATTGTAAATACTATGCTATGTATTCTTACAAACCCAATGTACCTTCTTGTATATAAATAAATAAATTTGTTCACTTGATGCATCACGCTATTGTGATTTCTGTGTGCAATTAAAATACAATTGGTGGGAGGTACGACCTTGTGATAAGTATAATTTTGTATAGATTTGGAAGTCAAATATTGTACAAATTTTGAATTTACCACGTAACCTAAGCCAACTGGTATCTGTGCATGTGAAGACGGAGGCACTTTGGCTTCAGACATTGCCAGTGCATGACTCTTAACACAGACGAGAGACATCATGCACTATAAGGGTGGGAAGGTGATATAAGGGTCTGGACTATCAAAAAAAGGACGACTACGTTTTTAAGTGACTTTCCAGTGCCTTTAAAAGCACACGCTCTCCATTAAATTTGATCTAATTCATTATTTAAGTGCCCCAATATATTATTAACTTCAAAGATAAGCATTCTCGGGTACATGGGGGGGGGGAAGGGTCACATACAGACTTCCGATATATAATATCTAAGTAATCAATAAATGGCTCCATTATATAACTATCAACTATCGTATTAGCTCATGAACAGATATAGGAGTATAACTAATTCAACTTTTAGCTCATTTAATTACTTAAGTTTCCTATTCGAGCCGCAAAGATAGGCCTCGTGTTGACAGAACGCTGGCTCAAATCCCAACATTGCTCAGTTTGACTAGTATAGACTAGTCAAACTGACTAGTGTATAACTAGTCACTGCTGACACTTGTCTAGATATGGAACACAAGTGACATTTAATGCATCGCTATAAATACGTTACTAGTTAAGACTTTTTTTTGTTTAGTGACTGCGTGCAAATCACCATACCTCTACTTTTAACTATATTTCTAACTTGTGCTACTTTTTAATATCTTCAAAATGGAAATTATCTATATATGGTTTTATATAAATAAGCGCTTCCTCTTATCCTGAAATCATTATGTGATTGGAACCCTTCTGCTACGCCGACCATATGATTGATGTGGGTTCCGCCACCTTCCACATAATGACTACAGAGTCGCCACCATCCACAGGATGGGTATGGGGTCTGCCACTACCCACAGGATGGGTATGGGGTCTGCCACTACCCACAGGATGGGTATGGGGTCTGCCACTACCCACAGGATGGGTATGGGGTCTGTTATCACCCACAGGATGGGTATGTGGTCTGCTACCACCTACAGGATGGTATGTGGTCTGGTACCACCAACAGGATGGGTATGGGGTCTGCTACCACCCACAGGATAGATATGGTGTTTGCTATCACTCACAGGATGGGTAAGGGGTCTGCTATCACCCACAGGATGGGAATGGAGTCTACCACCGCCCACAGCATGGATATGGGGATCACTACCACACAGAGGATGGGTGTGGGTCTGCCACCACCCACAGGATGAATAGAGGGACCACCATAACACACGGGATGGGTATGGAGACCACAACCACACACAGGGTGAATATGGGGACCATCACAACCCACAAGATGAGTATATGAGATCCACCACCACCCACAGCATGGGTATAGGGACCACCACCGAACACAGCATGAGTATGAGGGTTCATAATAAACAAACTCAACTCAACCTGGCCATCCTGACCCCGGAATGACTGGAGAGTGAGGTTGCCGACAGCCTTCAGGTCAAGGAGATAAGGCTCCTCGCTCTCGTCTGAATGGAAGACAACGACGCTAGAGGGCGCCTGCTCGGGCTCCGGCAGAGGGAAGAGGCGCTCCCCAACCTTCAGTTGTAGAGGTTGTCCATGTTTGCCCCCGACCACCTCCCCGCCAGCCACCTGCAACACGTCGTCAAACACCACATTAAGCCATATTAATATATGCAATAGCTTAAATACACTAGAGGACAAATTAATGATACAGAAAAACCGTTATGGATGATGAGCTAGTTGCTCGGTCAGCCATGTTAAGTATCGTTGGTTCTGGCCAGTAACTGAATATGATCAGTGGGGAGTTCAACTGGTCCTCGAGTTAATATTTACAACATAAAACTTTACTTTTTTCTATATTGGCTTCAAATTTGTTCAGGTGTGGAGGGGTGTGGTGTATGTATGTGTGTGGTGAGGCTACGAACTGCAGGAAGTGACTCTCATATGCCGTGTGCGGTGCTCTCAAGTCCTCCTGCCCTAATAATAATAATAATAATAATAATAATAATAATATCATTATTATTAATTTTAATTACAAAACGGTACAATGTGTTGGTGAGATTACATAAGCTTGGTATTTTTATATTCTTTGCAAAGCCGCTAACACGCATAGCATTTTGGGCAGGTCCTTAATCTAACATATCAGGTAAGATGAAAGGGTACATTGTAGCAAAATTTTATATCAACATATAACTACAATATAAAATGACAGGTGATTACACTGGTGAAGATATATATGTCTTAAGTACTAATACTGGGGAAGTGGGTAGTACAAGATATAGTGTGAGTTTGAAGCACCAGGTAGGAAACTATGGGGATGAAATTAGGTACTTTTTGCTTTTACTTTTGAATAAGGCATAGATTGGAGAACTTGTTAATTCATCAGGGAGTGAGTTCCATAGACTGGGTCCTTTCATTTGCATGGAGTGTTTGCACAGATTTAGTTTGGCTTTGGGGATATCAAAGATATATTTATTTCTGGTGTGATTGTTCGTATATGCTATTATTATGTTTGTTGGTGTTTTGTTTATAGAGATGATGTTATCGTAAGAACGTAAACATAAGAATAGTTGAATCTATAGAAGGTCTATTGCCCCGTACTACCTAATTCTTAGGTAATTAGGTAATTAAGGACTACCTAATTCTTATGGTCTTATGGTTCACGACTAATGGTTGTGTTGACTCCTTGGTTCTTTTATTTTCTCGTTCAGGTCACTGTTTCTAATTAATTTTGAACTGTTCAATGAATCTTCGTGCGACTCTTCAATTTTCATTACTTTGCACTTGTCTGTGTTGAAGTCGAGTAACCATTTCTCCGCCAAACACAGAATCTTAGGTTAACCCACCTGGCAACCAATCACTAATTTACATGCGTCAAGTGTGAAGTGGTTTTTCTTAACCAGAAGATTAGGAATCCATAATCCACTGATGTATATTACTCATAGGAACCATCAATATTGTGATGCTTTGGAATTCGTTAAAAACGCCAAAATTTCAACATTTTGGCGCATTAATAGAAGACAGGTTGAAGCAGCCATGCAGCGCTGGCGCCGCCGGCACCTGTATCCTAGTTACAGCTGTCGGCCCGCGGGAGCCACCACAAACATGAAACAGGTTATCGAACCCTCAGTAACGCATTAGTTAGTTGTTCATGATACATGAAACATAAAACTTAACTCACTATGAAACCACTTGGAAAATTAAGGTCTATAAGTTTTGTTTTGCTTACCGAACAACTGAACTATAGTAATTATAAGTTAAGAATGACTCAAATCAATCTTTATCTCTCACTCTCTCGTGTCGAGCATACTTGGCCCTCTCCTCTTTCTCATCTACATTAATGATCTTCCAAATGCCTCCCAACATCTCAAACCAATTCTATTTGCTGACGACACGACCTTCATTTAATCCAGTCCTGACCCCCTTGCTCTAAATGTCACAGTGAATACTGAGCTAAATAAAGTCCATCACTGGCTAACTGCCAACAAACTCACCCTTAACATTGACAAAACTTTCTATATTCTGTTTGGCAATAAATCCTCAAATCAAATAAATCTCAGGATTAACAATACCCAAATTTGTAACAAAGTAGATGGCAAATTCCTTGGCGTTCTCATTGACCGCAAGCTGAATTTCCAGGGACACATTCTAAATATATAAAAAAAAGTTTCAAAAACGGTTGACATTCTTTCTAAGATCAGATATTATGTACCTCGCCCTGCCCTGGTGACTCTATTATTCTCTCATCTATCCATATCTCAACTATGGTATTTGAGCTTGGGGTTTTACTACCCAAAATCATTTACGTCCTCTAATTACTCAACACAAAGCTGCTATTAGGACAATATCTAACTCTGGCCCCAGACATCACTCGGTACCCTTACTCAAATCTCTGAATATGTTAGATATTAAGTCACTGCACATCCTCTTATGTGTATTTATATATATATATATATATATATATATATATATATATATATATATATATATATATATATATATATATATATATATATATATATATATATATATATAAAACGCTGAACTGTAATGTCAATCCTGACCTTAAAAGCTTCCTAGAAGGTTGTAACAGATCCCATGAGCACCACACCAGAAACAAATACCTCTTTGATATTCCAATAGTACGACTTAGTCAAACTAGAAATGCTTTACAAATCAAGGGACCTCGAATGTGGAATGACCTTCCCAATTATGTTAAAGGTTGTACCTCTCCCAACCAGTTTAAGATAAAAACAAAGTACTACCTTATTAACTCCATGTAACCTACCTCACCCCCAAAATGTCAACCCATGTCTACTACTTGAAACAATGCTGTTTGTTGACCAAATTGTATTTTTGCTTTTTTTCTGCCATGTTTCCCCCCCCCCTTTTTTTTAATTTTTTTCTTATTTTTTCTCAACACAATTTATACTTTAATCTCAATTAGTATTAAGTTTTAGTCTTAGTGTTTTTCCTGCCCGAAACGCTTTGCGTAATAGTGGCTTTAGGCATTTTTTTTTTATTATTTACTACCACAGACGTGGCCACACAATAACAATGCTAACCAACATATATACATTTTTTTCTGTCCTCCATGGACAGGGTTAGAGATGTGTTAAACATATAGTTCAAGGGTTTATTGAACAATCAACCACAGAAGGTGAGTCGGTGCATTGTATGTACTAGCTCTAGCATACATTGTATGTATGTACTTTACCTGAATAAATATTGAATTGAATTGAGTGATACTCACGTCTTGCTGAGTGAGGCCGAGCTTGAGCATGTCTTGGAGGCGGATCTGCAGGACGAGGCTATCACCACTGCCGCCGGAAGCCGACTTCACCACCACCTTAACTACGCCTTCTTCCGCAGCCTACACCACCTCAAGTAATACCATACACCCTCGTTACAAACATTCCATATAAGATACATGTTAAAAAATATAGCAAAATGCAACAATTCAGATTACTGTAGGGGATGTAGGTGTGGAGACCATGTAATTCAACACCTGGCAACTGTACCCATTAGATGAAGCTATATTTCACGTGGAACACCTGTTAGCCACCTGCCACTCTTGGCGACAAGTGTCGAGCATACAGCAACGTACCAATGGGTCCAGGTGAAGCGTCGTCCCAGCTGTGCAAACTTTCGACACTACAGCAGCCCACCACACCACACTCACACCAATACACCTGTGAAAAAAACAGGTGTTTTATGTCTGTCTTATTCACTTCAGCGCCACATGTGTACACACACACACACACACACACACACACACACACACACACACACACACACACACACACACACACACACACACACCAAATGACACAATGACAAATGGAATGCATTAGGAAGTGATGTGGTGGAGGCTGACTCCATACACAGTTTCAAGTGTAGATATGATAGAGCCCAATAGGCTCAGGAATCTGTACACCTGTTGATTGACGGTTGAGAGGCGGGACCAAAGAGCCAGAGCTCAACCCCCGCAAACACAACTAGGTGAGTACACTAGGCCTCGCGGCTGAGTGGATAGCGCTGGGGGTCGTAGTATCTACTAGGATCATCCCGGGCGTAAGTTCGAATCCTCATCACGGCCCTTGTGGATTTGTTCGTTGTCCAATGGCCCGGGTTCGATTCCCGGCGGAGACGGAAACAAGTGGGCCGAGTTTCTCTCACCCAGATGCCCCTGTTCATCCACCAAGCAGTAAATAGGTACCCGGGAGTTAGACAGCTGCTATGGGCTGCTTCCTGGGGATGTCTGCGTGTTAGAAATATATGTATAGTAGATATTAGGTAGCAAAAAGTATCTAATGTCACTTTCATAGTTTCCTACCTAATGCTTTAACTCGCACTGTATCTAGTGCTGCCCAATCCCCCAATATATGTACCTAAGACATATAACTTTACCAATGTAATCTTTGATTATCATCTGATATCATAGTTGTTATATTGAGTGCATATTCTACTGTACTATTCCTAGAAATGATAAAATAAAATAAAATAAATAAAATAAAATGTTTATTTAGGTAAGGTACATACATACAATAATTTTTTACAAAGAATGGTTGACTTATAGGTAGAGCTAGTACATACAATACCTAAAGCCACTATTACGCAAAGCGTTTCGGGCATGATAAACTTAAATGACAAGCTTAGTACTAATTGAGCATAATGAGTAGAATGAAAACAAGAAATGAAAACATAGATGAAAAAGCAGCACAAATACAATTATGTCGACAAACAGCGCTCTTAAAAAAAAACAGACATTAGTTGACAATAGAAGGGTAAGGTAGGTTACAGGGAATTTATTAGGTATAGCTTCGTTTTTAACTTAAACTGGTTGAGAGAGGTACAGTATTTAACATGGTTGGGAAGGTCATTCCACATTCTGGGTCCCTTGATTTGTAGAGCATTTCTGGTTTGATTAAGTCGTACTCTAGGAATATCAAAACTGTATTTATTTCTGGTGTGGTGCTCATGGGTTCTGTTACATCCTTCTATGAAGCTTTTGAGATCAGGATTGGCATTATAGTTTAGCGTTTTATATATGTATAATACACATGAGAGAATGTGCAGTGACTTAATGTCTAACATATTCAGAGATTTGAGTAGGGGTACCGAGTGATGCCTGGGGCCAGAGTTGGATATTGTCCTAATAGCAGCTTTGTGTTGAGTAATTAGAGGACGTAAGTGATTTTGGGTAGTAGAGCCCCAAGCACAAATACCATAGTTGAGATCCTCAAATTGTGCTACAATGAACCAATTGATAACCCTGAAATTTTACCCTAATGTACCTAGTAATCCTTGTCATAATTGTGTATTGTTATTATTGTGTACTAATATAATCTTTGTTGATTGTGTCAAAATTTCCTACAATGTACCTGTAACATTTTATGTCAATTTTATTGGAAAATATCTACTTAAAATTATCTGTTAGATTAAGGACTTGCCCGAAACGCTATGCGTGCTAGTGACATTACAAGAATGTAAAATCATCATCATTACTATGTACTTTCTTAACCCCCAATGTACCTTCTTGTATATAAATAAATAAATAAATAATAATACTGGAAAAATAGATTCGTTAGAAAGGCGGGTCCAAGAGATAATAACTCAATTCTGTAGACGCAAATAGTTAATACACACAATTCAGAAAATATTAATAATAATAATAATAATAATAATGTTTATTCAGGTAAAAGTACATACATGCAAAATGAATTACAAACAGAATGTTATATTTCTAGATAGAGCTAGTATATACTATACCTAAAGACAGTAATACGCACAGCGTTTCGGGCAAGATGTGGGAAAGAGGACAGACAGAAGACAATAAATACAGTGTCAATGACAAGTATTCCCTGAATAGTGTTAAAGTAATCAGATTAAGAATGATGGATCATCTGAAGAGAACCAACCATGTGACCCATGGATTTAGCATAGTTTGTCGTGTCCTGACAAACTTGATCGAGTTCTATGACAGGGGCAACTAAAATATAACAGGAAATCAGAAAGATGGGTAGACTATGTTCCTATATTGCCAATAAGAATTTGGCACTGTCTTATGAAAGGCTGATGTTCGAGATGAAGAAGCAGGTTGGAATAACTAAGAAAACACTAAAGGGGTAAAAAGAGCACCTGAAGGACAGAAAGCAAGAGTCACAGTCAGAGAGAAGGTTTCAAGCTGGAGGACTGTGAAAAGTTGAGTCCCACAAAGCTTTGTCCCGGGGCCGCTGCTGTTCCTAATTTATGTGAAAGACTTACCCTAGGAAGTGACTTCAGCCATGTCAATGTTTGCTGATGATGTAAAGTTGATGAGGAATACAAAAACAGAGAAGGAGGTACAAAAACAAAGGAGGTAGCAGAGGAAGGAGGCATTGTATGTACTAGCTCTATCTATAAATTCATCAATATCTGTATCACCCCTTGTATGTATGTACTTTACATAAATAAACATTTAAATTTGAATTTTAAATTTAAATTTTGAGGACCTTCACAAACTCCAGAAGTGGGCAAACAAATGGTTGCTGGAATTCAGTTCCAACAGGTGTAAGGTAATGAGGACGGGAAAGGGAGAAAGAAGACCAGAAGACATGTACGCTATGAGGGAAAAGGCAACTGCAGGAATTGGAAAGAAGATTTGGGAGTGGATATAATTCCAACAGTAACACAGAGGCACACATAAACAGGGTAACATCGGTAGCCTATTGGACATTGGCAAACATAAGAACATCATCTAAAACCTAAATCAGTACTCCTTCAAGGTAATCTACACATTTCTTTATCCAATACTGGAATATGCAGCACCAGTACGGAATCCAAAGCTTGTGAAGCAAGTACAGAGGTTTCCAACAAGATTGATGCCAGAGCTAAGACGGCTAATTATGCTAAGAAAATAGGATAATGTAATTAAATTTCACAACCATAGAGGTTAGAAGAAACAGAGGGGGATATGATCACAACATGCAAAATTCTGAGAGAAATAAACAAGGTGGACAAAGACATCCTCTTCAAAATGAGAGACTGTAGGATAATTGAAGACAGGTGGAAGCTGGAAAGGCAAATGAGACGATGGAATATAAATATGTATACTTGTACAACTGGTAAACAAGTGGAATACACTGAAGGAAGAAGTTGTGGAAGCCACCTCCATCCACAACTTTAAAGTCAGATTCGACAAGGAATTTAAACTTCAAAATAATTAAATTGTAACGCAACAAGTACAGTAAGGTTAGTTGGCGGATATAATTATAAAGAGCTAGAGCTCATTGCCCCGTGAGACATTGATAGGGAAGCAAGCAGACAGACACAGTACTATACTATATAATACGTAGGAATAAGAAAGTCTCCTCGATACTCACTTTACCATGATTGAGAACAACCGAATGCAATTAAACCACAGTTGATTTCTTGTAAGATGACATCGTTCGCAGAAATGAATAGCCTATTTTCGCCAGCTCGATGAATTTATAATTTCCAGAATATTAGATATTATATACATTCAACAAATACACAAAAATTATCAGAATACATATATACTGACATATGCGAACAAGCCTGAATGGTCCCCAGGACTATATGCAACTATTTATATTGACATATAAATATATTTGATAAAATATAACATAGAGTTTAGTTAAATAAAGATCCGAGTGATTTAAGAACAATATTCACTACATTTAATGACATGTTCACCCACATCACGTCTCGTTGACATACACAGAAAAACACTTGCTTCTTCACTGTGCAACTTGTGCAGTGCTCTAGAGCGGGACGAGACCCCAGTGTGCTGGCACAGTGGCCTTCCCTTCCCCGTCGGCACAAACACGTGGGTATCCTCACTTTTCCTGCTTCATGAGGAAAGTTGGATTGTTAATAGTTTGTTAAAATCGAACTTATCACATGTCTCTGTATGACTAGCCATCCTGTGGTTAAAATTGATTCTTATTCCGATTTGCTGCTAAAATATATATAATTAAGCGGGCAAATCACGTTTAAGATCGGTTTACTCAATATAGTATTAACATCATTTACGTTGATTCTATGTTGATTAAACACTACTCGGGCATGTTTTGCCCCTTGCAGGGTATAGGTGTAGTGGGAGGTAGCCACGGGTATGGGGGACTCATATTGATGGCCAATCGTGTTATGTGGGAATGATTTGATTAGTTTAATATGGACCTCATAACTACCCTATGATCGATGGATGAGTAAATGTTAATTACTTTATACGTATTTTATTCAGGCCCTCACTTAAGATTGTTTTAATTATGTGTGTTGGAACAGTTAGATTTAATTGCCCCCACACACTCTGATCCCGATTCAACCTCGGACGTGTTTTAAATTCCTAACTTGATAATTATGCTTGGCGTGAAGTTACAACTGTTGATGAGATTTGAAACGTACATAGACTTATATTGCTCGTCCAAATATTCGACCCATTATTTATTTGTTACAAGCTTACATATAGGTACACATCAGTACGTTGGTACCTTATTATGTATGAATAATTAGAGAGTATATTTCATGAACTAGCCATACGTTTGCTTATTATCCCCACATACAGGATGGTTGGTCATATATGAAATCAAAAATACAATAGAAACTGGCATGTGTATCTAGTTTACTATAGCCTAGTAGACTAGACTACCAAACTTTGTGTAGAATAAAATATAATTTTATACTACCCGCGTGACTGAAACAATATATAGTTGCAAAGTTCTTAAGTATTACATAAAAT